ATTTTTATAAAGAAATTCGAAAAAGGATTTATGATAATTGTTGTATATGTTGATGATTTAAATATCATTAGAACTTCTGAAGAAATTCAAAATATCATAAATTATCTAAAAAGAGAATTTGATATGAATATCTTAGGAAACAAACTTTTATCTCTACCTGCAGTTCGAGCACTTAGAGAATGATATTTTTATTCACTAGTCAATTTATATAGAAAAAGTTCTATAATTATTCTATATAAAGATCATCCATTGACTAACCCAATGATACTTCGTTCACTTGATATCGAAAAAAAAATCTTTTTCGACCTTGAAAAGATAACGAAAAACTACTTAATCCCGAAATACCATATCTTAGTATCATTGGTGTATTGATATATCTTGTTAATAATACTCGATTTGATATAGCTTTTTTTTATAAATTGATCGACAAGTCATAATTCTACTCCAATACGGAGACATTGGAATGAAATTAAATATTTTCTACATTACCTTCGAGGAAAAATTGATATGATATTTATTTTATTTAAATAAATCAAAATCGAGTTTAATTGGTTATACAAATGTAGGTTAGTTATCCGATCGATATAAAACTCGATCATAAATGGGTTTATGTATTTACACTTGACGATACAACTATATTATGACGTTCTATGAAGCAAACCGTAGCTGCTAAATATTCAAATCATACGTAAATATTAATTCATAAGGCAAGTCGAGAATGTGTTTGACTAAAATCAATGATCTATCATATTCGCGAGACATGTAGTTTATCTATTAGTAAATAAGTTTCAATAACATTATATAAAGATAATGCTGCTAGCATAATTTAATTAAAAGAAGAATACATCAAAGTGACAATTCGACGAACTTATGTATTAAGGCATTACCTATCACAAATTTTGAAAAAAATGGTATGCAAGATCGAGATTCGTTGTCTTAAAGATCTCAAATAATATTTCAGCGAGGGAAGCCCAATATCGAGATTAATATATATAAGAAGTATTGTACTCTTCTTCCTTCACTAGGATTTTTTCTTCCTAATGAGTTTTTACTTAATAAGGTTTTAACGAGGTATGTTTCTTGTACGATGGATATTCGAGGAGGAGTGGTATAAAATAATGAATGTTTATGACCATTTCATATTTCAACTACTCATTTTATTCAATTCATCATTCAATATGAGAAACTGAAAAGGTGATGTAATTTATTTAATTATGGTTCATAGTCTCTTCCAATCCTTTTTTATAATTTTGAAGCCTATAAATAGGCTTGATTGTTCATTAATTTTTTTTACAAATATTTTATAGAGATTGAGAGATTATTTGGAGTTGTTATCTTTTATATTCATTTTATCTTAAAATGAATTTATTTTTCTATCATCTTTCTCTTCAATTTTACTATTGTTACTATTTTTTTTACACATATAGTTGAAATCTTTAGTATTTTCTTATTTATTGATTATGTGCCTATTCTTTGAACAAAATACTCGTCATTTATTTTTACTAAGGTCTGTGTTTGTTTGGGGGAAAACAATTTCTAGGAACTTGTTTTCCTCATTTTCTAATGTTTGTTTTGCGTTTATGAAAAAATTCAATGAAAAATGATTTTCGAGTCAACGAAAAATGATTTTCGGTTAACGGAAAATGATAGAGTATTTTTGAGAAAATATTTTCCCAGTTTAAAAAGAGGAAAACATTTTCCTTCCCACGAGTCGTCTCGCTCTCGCATTACTTACCTCTCTTTCGATAAATTTTAACAATTGTTTTCTCTATCTTCTTTTTATTTAAAATATATTAAATTAATTTTTAATTATTCCTTATCAATTATCAATTATTATTTAATTATTTTTTTCTCTATTTCTACTAATATTTGATTTTTTCATTTATAGATACATTAAATATTCTTAAAAATTATTTTTACATATTAAAATTATTTTTATTATAAATATTTCAATAATTTATCTTTATTTTTTTAGTATTATCTTAAACACCACTTACACTACACTTAAATGATTGAAAATGATTATTACGGGATCTGTAATTTTTTTTATTTTTTATTTTTGTAAAAAATTTGAAATTAATTAATTTATTAATAAATATATTATTTTTTCAATACTATTCATTTGTAACTAAATCAATAATTTATAATTTTAATCAGTCGTAAAATTTTGTTGGTAATTGTAGTGAATAATTAGTTACAAATTATTTCAACATTGATCTTTTAAAACCAAATGAATAATTATCTACAAATGATAACTAATAATTTATAAAATTATTTTTTAGACTAAATCATCAGTTCAATTTCTAAAAAAAAAAAAAAAGAATTCTTAATTGAGGTATCAAATTAACAATGCGAGGATTACTTGAAATTTTGTTTTCTTTACTAAATGTGAATATTGACTTGATTTTGTCCTAAATAATTTTGATGAATTGGTTTGATGGTTAAAAAAGTATATTTTATTTTTTAAAATTAAAATTTTAGAGTTAGTATTTATGAAAATTTATTAAATTTTTTTAAATATATCTTATATTGCGAAATTATGAATATACATTTTTGAAGTTTTCTCAAAACATGTTGATGTAATAATCACATATTGTTTTTGTATTTTAATTTTCTATATCAAACAAACGTCGGAATACATTTTTCAACAGCTTTTTCTTGTAATCGCCAAATAAAAGAAAATATTTTTCTAGAAAACAATTTCCGAAAAAAAAACTTCCTCGGGAATTGATTTTCCTATGGAAGTTGTTTTTCGTTAAACAAATGGAGCCTAAGAAACTTAAAGAAGAGGAGAGAGAGAGAGAGAGAGAACAACGAAATGAAGAAAAAGATGTATTAACTATCCTCTTTAATCAAAATCAATTATATCCTTAATTTTTGAATTATTTTAAGTATCAAAGATCGATTTCTGATTATAATTAAAAATTACTACACGTTTGGGCTCCGTTTGTTTAACGGAAAATAACTTTCATAGGAAAATCAATTCTTGAGGAAGCTATTTTTCAGAAATATTTTTCCAAAATACCATTTTCTATTGTTTAGCAATTACATAAAAAAAATTACTGAAAAATATATTTCAACGTTTATTTGATATAGAAAATTAAAATACAAAAACACTATGTGATTGTTATATCAATAAGTTTTAAGAAAACTTCAAAAAGGCATATTTATAATTTCACAATATAAGATACATTTAAAAAAAATTAATAAATTTTCATAAATACCGACTCTAAAAATTTGATTTAAAAAAATAAATGAATTTTTTTAACTATCAAACCAATTCAACAAAATTACTTAGGACAAAATCAAGTCAATATTCACATTTAATAAATAAATAAATAATTTCTAAGTAATCCTAGCATTCTTATTTTGGCAACTCAATTAAGAATTTTTTTTTAAAGAAATTGAACATATAATTTAGTCTAAAAAATAATTTTAGAAATTATTAGTTATCATTTGTAGATAATTATTCATTTGGTTTCAAAAAATTAATGTTGGAATAATTTATAACTAATTATTCATTACAATTACCAACAAAATTTTACAACCGATTAAAATTACAAATTATTGATTTAGTTGCAAATGAATAGTGTTGGAAAAATAATATATTTATTAATGAATTAATTAATTTCAAATTTTTTTTATAAAAAATTACACTCTTGTAATAATCATTTTCAATAATTTAAGTATAGTGTAAGTGGTGTTTGAGATAATGGTAAAAAAATAAAGATAAATTATTGAAATATTTACTACAAAAATAATTTTAAGGTGTAAAAATGATTTTTAAGAATATTTAACGTATCTATAAATAAAAAAATCAAATATTACTAGAAATAGAGAAAATATAATTAAATAATAAATAATAATTGATAATGAATAATTAAAAAATAATTTGATATATTTTAAATAAAAAGAATATAGAGAAAAAAATTGTTAAAATATATTAAGAGAGAGGTAATTTATGCGAGAACGAGACAACTAGTAAGAAGGAAAATATTTTCCTCTTTTTAAACTGGAAAAACATTTTCTCAAAAATATTCTATCATTTTTCATAAAGTGAATTATTTTTCGTTGATTTTTTCCTAAACACGAAAAAAACATTGAAAAATGAGAAAAACAGGTTACTGAAACTTTTTTTTTCTCCAAACAATCACAGCCTTGGTTTTTCTTGCACAAATCTCATGATCCGCTACTGCATTATGATTTGAAGGAAAATATTTCCATAAATTGTTACCCCTTTTTAATCTTAACGGTTAAGATATACTCGCAGGAATTTTTACATACAGACTAAAATTCCTTTCTGATTAAACTTTAATCAAGCTAACTAAACTCGAATGAAAGCACTCACAATAAAATAGCATGTCTTGCACCCTCCTTTTAGAATCATGGACGAGAACATGGAAAGTATAATCATTTATATCCATCCAAAGTACTGCAAACAATGTTCAGAGTTGAACCATAGTAGTACCACATATCCTTAAGCAAACCCTTCTCTCCCCTTGAGCGGCCGAGCCAATCCACAGAACATTTATGCATACTTATTGTTTGCAAATAGAAGATTATCCATAGATTGATTGGATTTGTGGTTATCAACGAGGATGCAAAGGAAATCTTATCAGGCGAGGGGGATGGGTTCAGATTTAGATTCGTTACTGGAACCCTATTAGATGAGGTAAGTATCTCGTAGGTTAGTACTTGAAATAAAATATACTCATATCTACTAGGTAATATAACTTATCCTTGCATATCTGTCAGTGCTACAAACAGTAGTATCATTCTAGCTCATCCAGCCAGGAAGAAAAAAGCATCCCTAGGGTATTATTTTGTGAATAATTTCATACAAATATGTTTCAAAAGTCACAGCTCTCTTCCACAGAAGAAACGCAGAGAGGACAAAGCTTGCTTATCATGGTGATCTTGCAAATGTGCCAAACATACTTATTTTCCTGTATCACTATGCAAGCACTGGTGGCAAACACCTGGAACCAAATTTTAGGTATTTAAGCAGCTAAACTTTTTGAGGCAATCTCAAATACATTCGCTGACAGTCCATTGGAAGACACGATCATCTCCAGCTGTGCCTGTATTAAACCATGCCAATATGGATATAAATTGACAAGAGAACCGATCCCAAATATCAAAGGTAAATCTGATATATGCAACATCAAAGCTTTCAGATGGTTATTCTAAACAGTGGCATGGCATCCACAGAAAAATGGCACCAGCTACTTACCTTTGCAAGGTTTTGCCGGGTTTCATCATAGCGTCTCCATCTTGAGAAGGCTGATACCATGCGGGCAGCCACCTGAAATCCACAGGTTATTGAACAAGCAACTAAAATGATTAATCCAATGTGCATGGTGATAACGAGAATTAACTTCATATTCAATGGATATAATAAAAACAGACCTGAGGATTAATTTTGTCCAGTTGCACCACAACCTCCCCCAAAAACTTGTAGCCTGACCCATCCTTTGCATGGAAATTCACAGGAGAGCCACAGAATCCTCCAATGAGTGAGTATACCTGTATATCACATCAAGGGTTCAAATTCAATCAAACCTTTGAAATTGACACATGGAGGAGCAGACAAGTATGCAAACAAACACAAAGAGATGCTGATTACTGCAGACCTTGTTTGGATTGCGCAGATCAAATGCTGGATGATTTAAGAGGTTACGAACATTCTCAACATTACCACGAACATCAGACATTGCTTGAAGGGCAAACCATTTATTCACAACCTAACAGAAAGACAGAACAGATTATTCAACAAGAAAAAACAAAACTACTTCAATGCTCTGTTCCTTGCAATGGCTTCCAAAGACAGCAAGCATAATAGCCTTGTGGAAGTCATTGTTTGCCAAACATGTTTGTCCATTGATGGAATGAGGCACACCAAAACATGTGAAATGAATTCATTTCAGCAACCAAAGAGCACTTAGTAAGAGATTCACCAAAAAGTCATCCTGCCACTTGGTGTAGAAGTCAGCCAGTACTTCATCACGAGTTTTCCCAGGATTTTGGGCTATGGCTGCCAAAGCTGCAAATTGCTCAGTCATATTTGTCGCAGTTTTGTACTCATGCAGTACAAGTTCAGTTAACCCCTGCTCTTCGAGTGATGCAAGATATGCTGCAGATGGTGGAAAAAGAGAGGTGTAACTAGTTAAATTGGTTACCATAATCTAGAAACTTTAAATACCATTATGCCGAGAAACACAGACCAAGGCAAATATTTTTTAGAGCACGCCTAGCCATATTAGGATGGTTAAACACATACTCTTCTGAGCTCCTATTGTTTTCAACCTGTGAAGTATGACAAATTCATTCACCAACAGTGATTAATCAAGAAGTGGGAACATGAGGTATGAAAAAAGTAAACCCAGGGCGAACAGCCATACTGTGTGTAGAAACTCTGCTTTTAGTTCAGATGCAAGCTGCTTCCTGATGAAAGATCGAACAGCATGAACAGCATCAGGATCTGCAACTTCCATCATGTCCATTATTTCTCCTTCACCTGGTAGAGTTATTGCCTTTGCAATAAATTCCTGGATAAGAAAAGGATTAATTTAAATCCATTAGTGCATACATCTTCTATCTACTCTCGGTGCATGAATCTTCTGCTTCATCATCGCTCCCCACAAAAAGGGGGTGTGGATGAGGAAAAAACACTGGCCATACCTTATCCAAGTTTGAGTCACTAAGTATGCTTCTTAGCCCTTGCACAAACTTTGGGTTCAGAACCAAAGGTTTCCCTTGATGGAAATCAGCAACTAAGCTGAGCATCAGCTTTCTTGCTAAGACTTGTCCAGCCTCCCAACTAGGGTCAATAAAAACAGCATATAATTATCTCTCCAGAAGTCACTTGAACGTTAAAAATAAAAATAAAAAAATGGTACAAATGCTTAGAGATAGACTAACCGGTTGAATTCATCTGAATCATGAGCAAGGAGGAAAAACAGATCACTGTCAGAGAGATCAGATTCAAGACGAACTGGAGCACTGAAACCCCGCAATAGAGAAGGTACTGGCCGCTCAAGTATATCAGAGAAGACAAATTCTTCCTCTTTCTGCACAGCATCAGCAGTAAATTCACTTCTTATTGACAAAAGTGATGCATGGTATCAATTCTTTTCTTTTTATCAAGAAATAAAAATCACAATAAATAGCATCAATGGGTCATTTCACATCATAACGCTTTTTTGTTTAGGCATCTTGCTGAATGTTCTCTGATAGCAATAAGTCATTATGTTTCCTCATCCTATTTTGAAACAACCTTACAGGCTAAACAAAGTTAACATTATATATATATATGTGTGTGTGTGTGTGTGTGTGTGTGTGTGTGTGTGTATGTATATATATATATACATTTAGTTTTCCTCCGAAAAAATAGGATCAGTTTGGTCAATGGGCACAAAATGAGTGGATTTGGTGCTGATTAACATCTGGGGAAAAAGAGTAATTCTCCAGTCCATCAAACGTAACTACTAACTAAAATGTTTATGGTAGATCCACCAATACCCCCATTTCATATGAAATACTTGTAACACATGTCCAACCAAGAAAAACCTGAAAAGACCATTTTGATGCTTGGCCAAATCTAGCAAAACAAGTAGACATAGGACACTGAATAGCAACTGCAGCTAACAAGATATCCAAGGAGAGACTAGCTAAAACATACAAAGACAAAGCAAGCATGGGTTCAACACTGTGCTCTCACCTTGGTTAGTCTAAGAATTGTACTATAGGCTGGTTGACTGTTGCTTGAAATAGACTTCAATGTTCCATCATGATATACAGAGGAAAGTGGCATGTCCTTACCACTTGCATCCAGCAGCCCTAATGCCACAGGAATGAACATGGGTTCTTTGACTGGCTGCCCTGGAGTTGGTGGTACTTCTTGACTGGAATATCCAGATTCAGAGTTGTCAGTCATACCACAAGACTAATAAAGGAAGATTATGCCTCTCACAGGAAAGTTATCATGTATACCTGAATTTCAAGGTGAAAGTATGAGCATCAGCATCGTAAGATGAAGCAACTTTCACCTGAGGTGTACCAGCTTGGGAGTACCTGTAGTTTTATTACATTCCAAGCTAAGCATAAAAAAAGGCAGAGGGTAATTCAAACAAAATAAAACACAGATCGATACCATAGTAAGAAATTGGCAAAATCTGCATCATTTGCATCTCGCATGGCAGCAAAAAAATCTTCACAGGTCACAGCTTGACCATCATGCCTCTTAAAATAAAGATCCATTCCCTGAAAGACGAAAAAAAAAATTCAAAGTTAAAATTCCCAGGAGACACAGTTTTATGGTATAGATGATTATCACATAAGAAACAGTTTGGCTCTTAGACATATTCTCCTTTTCTAGTTTTTACCTTTCTAAAACCCTGACTCCCTAATAAGGTTTTGTACATCCTGACAACTTCAGCTCCCTGATACACAAGAATAAGGTTTTGATGCATCAATGGTGCTCCTTATCCACACACATGTGTGCGTACACACAAGATGGAAATGTTTTCATACCTTTTCATACACCTGTGAAGAAGAAAAAAGAAAAGAAAGAATCCAAAAGATGAAAAATTAGGTAACTGAGCCTGTGAAAGGAGGAAAACTAAACAAAATTAAGAGATGCAACAACTCTCCAAACCATACCGTCACTGTAAATTGTAGGGAGCGGAAAGTCCCGTATCAGAACGCACCCCACATGAATGCAAAAGACAGACAAATATCACAGAAGTTAAAAGAAAACAAAATTCCAAGTCACTGGAAAGCAAAGTGTTTTATGAGGTTTTGACTGAATAAGTCATACGGAACAGGAACTTACCTGTGTAGAAGTTGTCCATCTGCAGATAAGGAAGCAGTGACATGAATACAGTACATGAAAAAACAACTAAGTTTAAAACAAGCAGATAATTTACCGGAAAGGTCTTTGGTAAAAAGGTAGATTTCATACCTTGATATATGAATGTGGTCGCACTGGATGAGCCATAGGACCGGCATCCTGAATGATCACAGAACAGCTTTGTTAGTGCTTGCATGTAGTAAGCTTTATCACAAATCCATGTGAGATTATACAGAAAGCATTCACATGTATCGACTTATTACTGTGCAAGTACTTAAACACCTGATTGATTAAAAAATAAAGGCATCACTTCAAAATCATGAAAAGGACAAGAAAGAACCTGTGGGAACTGAGAAATTCGAAGCCTTGAAACATCAGCAATCCTCTTCACAGTGCGGCTTCCCATGTCAGATGAAAACTCCTAGCGATGTTGAAAGATAATCAAGAATAAATTAAGAGGGTACTGATATGAAATTGCCAGTCACTATACAGGAAAAAAGATAATTCTACCTGATCACGAAATACAGTGAGACCTTCCTTTAAGCTCAGCTGGAACCAGTCACGACAAGTCACCCTGGATTTAATTGGATATCACTTAATCAAAGTTTCAAGTTCACAATAAAACAAAAGTAACAGAAAATACATTCGTCCCCATGTCCACTTAAACAAGAAACCCACTACAAACATAGTGCAACCACACAAATCTTATTTCTCTTCATATTAAAATAGAATGCAATAGCACATGCATAAAGACAGATCTATATTGCGAGGAGTATAACCCAACCTGTTGCCTGTCCAGTTGTGAAAATACTGCAGATGGAACAAAACAAAAGATTCAATCCTCGGAATTAAACAAAAGGTTTTGAAAAAAAATGTTCCTGCTGTTTTAGCATAACCAACCTCGTGACCAATAACCCCAAGAATTGCAGCATAATCTGCATCTGAAGCTGTTTCTGGGGAAGCCAAAACAAGCTTGGAATTGAAAATCTGTCCAAAGGCAATCCAGATAGATAAGAAGATCAATTTGTTTTTGGTGTTAATACGAAGATCAAATAGACAAATATAAATGATGATGAACTCAAGAAAAAGTTAGATGACACACGTTCAAACTTTTGTTCTCCATGGCTCCCCTGACAATCAATCAGAAACAAGGTCGTATGAGTGATTTAGTGCATGAAACTAACAGTATTTGTCACCATTATATAGATCAAACCAGATAAAGGGCTATTATATAAGCATGTTTTACTAAACAAAGAAGGAAACTTACATGTTGAAGTCAGGGACGGCAACAATGTTAAAGAGATCCAGGTCATATTCAAGACCAAAAACCTGTTTGGAGAGATACAAGATTACATGGCAGACTACAACACTAAAACCCAAAAAGTAACTTTGAGGTCATATTTAAACAATGGGTTGGATAGGAAGATACTGACATCCTCATCCCATTTCATTGCTGCTTTAAGCGAATACATAGCATGAGCTGTCTTGGGTACATCTTGTGCAGGGGTCCAAATTTTTAGAGACACATTTCTACCAGAACGGGTAACATAGGTGTCGTCTCTGCTCTCCAACTGTCCAGCAACCAATGCAAACAAATAGCAAGGTTTCTTGAAGGGATCCTCCCAGAGAGCATAATGTTTACCACCCTACAACACAGCCAGAGAGGCGGTAATAAATATTTGATAGTGAGTATTGTTGTTGTTGTTGTTATTTGGGGTGGATGATGGAGGCTATTCTGCATAACAGGTGAGTTTACCTCAAGGTCTCCTTGTTCCAAGAGATTTCCATTAGACAGCAATACTGGGTACAAAGATTTGTCAGCTTCAATCCGGACGGTGTATTTTGCCATTATATCAGGACGATCCTGTTAACAAAGTAAAATTAAATAATTAATTCACAGTTGCATTTAGCAACAAGAATCATTAGAATTAAAAGCTTATCCAATGAATTAACCTGATAATATGTAATTTTGTGGAAACCCTCTGCTTCACATTGAGTGCAGAAATTCCCAGATGACTTGTAAAGTCCCTAGAGAGAAGGATTATGCAACTCAAAATCGAGGAAACAGTCATAATAAGTATCTGTGAAAAGGAAGAAAAAAAATATCTCGTACCTCCAATGAGGTGTTGTTCTGGGGAAATATTTCAGTAACAATTTCCAATGTAAACGTAGCAGCAGGTGGTGATGGGATTGTTAAATGGCGTGAGTCCAAATGATAATCTCCATTCTGGAAAAAAGAAAGGAAAAAAAAAAAAAAACAGGATTAATGCAATGAAGAACAAGGAAAAGGCATAACATCTTCAAAATCTCCTATAGTAAAGAGTGGTGACACATATCATCATCAAAAAAAGCAAACAGCTTTCAGATGTAGTTAAGTTGCAAAATCCACGAGCCTAAGCCAACATTTGGAAGAGTTAAATAAAATTAATGCCTTCAGTTCCTCGCCATTGACTTTAACTGAAAGCAGCTTCAGGTCTGATCCATCCAAAACTAGTGGAGAAGAAGAACCTGTTCCACAATATAGTTTGATTAGCCAGTGCACAGTATGAAAGTATGAACTGCTATTGTAAGAACAACTTTTGCAATTTTCCTACAAATGTCTGATCAAATTCTATGAGCAAAGAATGGCCTTAATGATTACCTTCAACTCTGGGGAAAACAATTATTTTTGAACTGACAATTGTTTTCTCCTCACCCAGCAAAAAACTCAAATCCACCTAAGATTGTAAGGACATAAGTACATGAGGAAAAGTGAAAGCCATAGAAAGAAACACAGCGTCCTAGCAGTCTATATTCCAAACTTGACTAAGTTTTTGCATACCGAATCAAAATAGTAGTCAGGCAACTTGTAATCCTTGAGAAAGATTTCTTTTGGTGTGTCCATTTTGGATTCTTCAACTTGCTTGGGTAATGGTTCTGTGGCAACAGCACAAATTAGCCTCCTGTCTTGCTTCTCTCTCTGAAAATAAGTCAAGGAATACACAACAAGGTCATATGCATGCATGCAACACCAAGGAAAAAAAAATGATCAAAAAAAATAAACACTAGTTTTCATAACACTTTAAGGATACATGAATGTGTGTGTGGATAGGGTGTGGACGAGTGGTGTTTAGACCTATAAAAAGAAACCCATGACTTGTAACTTACATATAATGCTGGGTATGAAAACTGAGACTTCCTTCGAAAGGCAACCTAGATAACAATTTTGATTTCAGAATCAGGACATTTAACTGGCAGAACTTGGAATATATGGACAAGTTGAAGCCAAAATAATCATACATAAATTTCCTATCAAATTTCAGTGGAAAAATAATGCAAACCTCTGAACTGAGGAAACCTCTGTATTTTGAGATATTTACCACTGAATTGTGAAAGCAACTAGCTCTCCCAGTAGCTCGAATCTGAAACAAAATAAACACACACATTAAAGATACAAAATTATTACATAAACCCCAACCAAAGTTGAAAGCAAGAATAAATGAATATAAGAGAAAGGAACCCCACAGCAAGCTAAATCTCAAAATCATAGCGAAACAATGAACTTAATACGCATGTAAGACACCCTGGTCGAAGGAAATCATTTTAAGGATGTAGCATTGATAAAGGTAGAGCAAATAATGGCAACAGGAAGCAATAACATTTATGCTCCTTTGGGCTGCTAATAATTCATTGCAACACAACATAAGAGTCTCAACAACCAACAAAGCTTTACACTCAATTATTAACACCAAAAAATAAAATAAATGTATGCATGTGTTAACATAAAAATCAATGAGAAAATGGGATAGGAGTAATCACAGGAGCAGAGGAGATCAAACCCAAGAGACTGGTCTTTGCAAGACAGGAACTTTTGCATGGAAGAATCAATCTAGCCATTTAAAAACTGACAAAAAAAAAAAAAAAAAAAAAGAATCCTTACATAGACTAATATATTGAATCCATTAGTTAATGATCAAATCTCTTAAAACCCATAGAAGGGGTCAAAGATTGATGAAAATAAAAGATACCCAGATGGCCTAAGCCGACCAAAAGGCACCTAAAACCCTTGACCCAAAAAGACAAAAACAGAGCAAAATACAGTCACACACGCACACTGATCGGGTTCTTATGGATAAATGGATAACTCAAAATATGGACAGAAAAATTTCAAATGTAAATATGATAAAAAAATAAAAATAATAAGCATGCTTGAGGCATAAAATTGGACATTAATGTGAGTGAAAGGAGAAGACAGATTTACCTAGTTGATTTGATGATCTGAAGAAGAGAAAACTGAGGATTTTTTTTTTTTTATTTCGGTTGAAAACAAAACTTCAAATAGAACATAAAAGATAATAGATACCGGCCCCCGCACTAAGAATATATTTTTTAATTAAAATGGTAAATTTTTTTAATTTTCAATTGGATACCCTGATTATAGGCTTTTGCTTTGTTTTACACTATAGGAAGCTAGTTTAGCTTTAAGTACAAGTGGCTGTCTTAGCTGTAAAAAGTGAAAACCTGTCAGTATTATAAACGCAGGTTACAACATGGGCTCTCTCTGGCCCAGTAGTTTTGTTCAGTATTTTAATCGAGTGGAACTGATAATCTGGCCCAAAGAAGGATGGGCATAATGGGTTGAAGACAATTTTCTTGTTTGGGTGATTAGTGGGTTTGGGTTTCCACTAAAAATCTTGTTTCTCATTTCATTTAGATGGACCCTAGCCTACTCGCACTACACTGAGTATTCCATAAACCAAAATCATTTTAAAATTTATAATTTTTTATTTAATTAATTTTTTCGTAAATTTTTTTCTTAAAAAAAACATAAATAATTCTTTTTTATGAATTTATTTTAAATAAAAAATTATACTAATTTTAACTAAAATATCAATCAAGAATTAAAAATAATTTAAAAAAGTATTTTTCATAATATTTTATTTTAAAAATAAAGTTATAATTAATGGAAAAACTTTTATAAAAATTAACAAATGAAAAAAATATTATTTAATGTTGAAAAGAAGATTAATTTTTGAAATATCCTCGCAATACTAGGGGTATATAGTATAAAATCATTTCGAAATTTTTATTTAATTATTACTTTTTTTTATAAAATTTCTGCTTAAAAAAAAAACTTGATTTATTCCTCTTTACTTAGAGATTCTTAAATAAAAACTTGTAAAAATTTAAACAAACATAAAATATTACTTAAGAATTAAAAAACAAATACTTTAAAAATATTATTTTTATAAGAATGTATCCAAAAAATAAAGTTACAATTAATGTATAGACTTGCATAAAAATTAACTAATAAAAAATAAAATTTTATTCTTATTTAATGTTGGTGAGAAGATTTTTTTTTAAAAAAAGTATATGCATTTGATCTATATATATTTAATTACAAAATAATCAATAAATTAACATAAAAAAACTATATTTGAATAATTGGTTGGTTATTTCAAAAAATTATTTTAATTATTTTATTTCAAATAAATTGGTTTTACAATGCTAAAAAAATATTCATAGTAAATAATTTGTATTGTGTTGGAAGATGCACGGTTAATTTTTAATAAAAAAATGATTCAATAGTTTTTTTTATATACATTTTGATCATATCTAGTGAACTAAAACAAATTATTTGAAATACACTTTTAACCTTTTAGAATAAAATAATTATATGTTTATATATATGCAACAATCATTTAAAAATTATAAGAATTCATAATATATATATTATATCAATTTATTTTAAAAAAAGAAAGAATAATCATTGTTTAAAATTTTATGCTCAAATTCAAATATAGAGAAAAATAAATTATATTTATTGGTAAATAAAATTTTATATAAAAAAATATTAACTAGATGACAATTTTCATAAAAAAATGATCAATTCAAATAATGAAATTTAAATAATAAGAGTGATACAAGTTGAAATGTGTGTGTGCGTCCATGTATATATACACATACACACACATTGTGTGAAAATAAAAGAAAAATGAAATTTAAGAATTGAAAAACAATGTTACAACATGAGAGATAAAAAAGTGTTAAATTTGCATATTAATTTCCAAAAACACACATAAAAATTACTTAAATTGTCATCAAGTAAATAGTAATTGTATGCATATAAAAAGTTAGTGAATAGGAATTTTAGACATACGAACGGTTCGCATTCGCACGATTTGCTGCAGACGAACAAAACATACTTATTTCGAGTTTGATAACATATACTATATTATCGGTCAATTAAAATATAAAAAATAAAATTTTATCTAATTTCATAATTTTTAATCCAAATTATATATATATATATATATAGAATAAATTTTGAAGTCAAAAAAATATAATTTGTTCTTTCTTATGCATTTATTCTTAAATAAAACTCATAATAAACAAATTTCCATATAAATTTTTAAAAAAAAAGTCTTAATTTTTTTTTATAACATTGTATCGAAGAAATAAAGTAAAAATTAATATAAAAACTTATATGAAAATTAACAAATGAAGCTTTTTCTCCGATGAGAAGATTGTTTTTTTTAAAAAAATATGTACATTTGATTTATATATATTTATTTACAAAATAATAAATAATATTAAAATATAAAATTGCATTTGAATTATTAGATTATTATTCTAAAATATTATTTCAATTATTTTATTTAAAAAATTAATTTTAAAATATTAAAAAATGGTAGCAAATAGTAGGTATTGTCCGTGTAGATGCATAATTGATTTTTAATAAAATCAATGACTCTAATATTATTGTTTTTTATACATCATGATCGTACTCAATAGGTGAAAATGTATAGTATAAATTGAAAAATATTTTAAGAAATTAAATCATAAAATATATTTTGAAGTTAATAAAGTGCAATAAAAACTATAAAATTGATTTCGAAAAAAAATGATTATATAAAGAATAAGAAAATAAAATACATATATTCTATTTTTAAAATTTAATTATATAAGAATTAAGCAAATAAAAACAAGTGTAAAAAAACTTATTTGAATCCATACATAAAGAAAATAAATCATATTTATTAATAAATAAAATTATATAGAAAATAAGAATTAAAATTAATTTAATGAGAATTTTATAATAAATCAAAAGGATCAATTTTAAATAATAAAAGTAGTATATATTTATTCTAAAATCTAAAAATATATCGTATAAATTATATAATCATCAATTTATGTGAAAAAAAGTAACAATTGATTTTTTAAAATTTTAACACTCGATTAAATAAAAAAAAGAACATAAATTGATGAAGAAAAGCAAATGAAAAAACTAAAGAAAAAAAGACATGTGTAATGCATTAGTTAAGGAATTAAAATTTTTATTTTAAAATTTTAAATAAAAATTTTATGAATCAAAATGAAACATTTAAAAAAAAAACCCCTAAACTACAATAAGTGAATAGTGAATTATGAGGTGGAGAAAAATGATTTTTATTGTCCAAAACCCCCGACTTTTTTTTTTTTGAAGTCTTGGATTTTGCATGTTTGGACCAAAGCTTTTAGGTTATATCTTCTTCGTCATTGAGAAAATTTGGAAAACCTTTAAGTAGAAGCACATTCGGTCATGGCTCAATCATGTTTTGGTGTTTGTGTTATACGGTCGTGGTTGAGAGGACATGATTGGATAATGCTTCGGTGCTTTTCATCCAAAAGACTTTTGTATCAATGCATGCAATACTTCATCACTCATATTTGTATGGGTCAAACTTAATTAATATTGTTTTACATGAGTGTGATCAATAAGGTTGTAGTGTACGTACAATTCATGTAGTAAATAATTGCTCAGAGATGGATAATCATGAGACAAAAAAAAAAATCCATGTCCTTGAGAGGATTTTTTTTTTCTTTGAGGATTAATTCTTGTACGTGATCTTGTTTCAATGCAAAACGTGCACCTCATTATGCACTAGTTGAGACCTGGGAAGCCAGACCAAATGTATTGCTGCAACATCTAAGTTCGTAGATGTGATTTTTTTTTGTTTTTTTGGTAAATTCATTGATTTGATTGTTAATTCGTCTATTGGTCCAATGCATTGTAAAGTGTTTCTCATAGGATCATATGCTTCAAATTTGGAGCACGGAGCCAGCCAATTCCTCCGACACCCTAGCTGTGAAAATGCAATACATTTCTAGGTTTTGGTCGGTAATAAACTACATGCAATGCTTTTTTAACATTGTTTTTCAATTGTAAAGATATTAAATCAATGTTTTTCAGGTGTTTTTTTTTTAATATCAAAATTATTTAAAAATATCAACAACAAAAAAAAACCATCAATTTGATAGTTTTTTTTTCTTAATCGAAAAGTATTTTGAAAAACATTTCAACCATACCATAACCACGTTACCAACGAGACCTTAGAATGCTAGACTGTTCAGTCACTTTCTAACTAGAAACCAGGAGCAGTAATTGAAGATTTAATCTAAATTGTCTTGAGGGTTTAAGACGGTCAACATAAAGTTACTTTGACACCTATCACTTACGGCAAATTGACCTTTTTATAGGCAAGCTGCCCTGAATTGTCCAATTTCAAAATGAATTGATATGCAAGACAGCTCGCTTTTTGGAGTCTCGAACACCTTTTTCTCTGTTCATTGTGGTTAATAAACCTAATTACTTTTAAATTATGTGGCCTATGAGGTTTAAGGTGTTCCCTTTTGAGGGATCCTTGTTGTAGTTATGTTCAGAATAGGTTTTTTATTGAGTTGTTCTCATTCAAATAGACCATTTCCTTCATAAATCAGTAATTATTGGACTTCTTAGAATTATTAAGTACTGCCCTAAGAGACAAGAGCTTTGCTATTTCTAATTTAATACGACACAAAGTTCAAAGCAGTATTGTGATCATGTTCCATTACATTTTTCAAATTTGTAAATCCACCTGTCAAAGTTTTACATCCAGAGTGACAAAATGATAAGCATTAAAACAACTACGGAAAATCCAATCAATCTGATCATTCTAACTTTTTTGTTCATGCTTAATTTCGTGGTCCTTTGCCATTGGGGTTTGATCAAATTCATCAATCTGGCAATTGGGATAGCTTCGTGTTATGCATAAAACGCCAAAAGCTGTGATTAAACTAGGGCAAAAGAGCCCTTTTAGTGCATGTGCATCAATGAATTTGTTAAATAAGCCAGCCACCTACGTATTGTTTAGTGTCCAAGGCAACATTTAAAACAATTAAAGGCAGCTTCCTGGTTATGGGCCTAATTATGAGCAATGAAATCTGTGCACTACTTTAAACATCACCACTTTCCAGTTGGATTCATGGGGCGTGCTTGGTTTTTGTTGACATTCTGGGATTTTGAGGCACCACATGCTACAGCAATATGCAATCTTTGAGGTTACATCAGGAGAAAGCTACGAGGGTTTTTTGTTAGCTTCCGAACCAACATGTATGAAGCCAATTTTATCGAGTCCAATAAATATGAAAAAGATATTTTGCACTAATGTCTAGCTGGTTTGGACATGCTACTCAAAAGCAGACAACTATCAATCAATGTTGTGAGTTGATAGATCAAACTTAGGATGGTGACAATTTTCTTCCCCGTGGCCCGCATAGGTTGCAAAAGGATCGAAGAAATGAGCAAGCAAACCAAATAATTGTGCTAGTATAAAAAGAGGGAAAATTATTAAGCTTTTGTCCTAGCTACAGGCAGCTACAAAACGATAGGAAAGAAGAAAAAGTACGTGTTTGTTTATCCTTCACATACTCGTACTCTTTTAGGTTGTGGGGGCAATAGGTATGGTGGGCAGTTGTGGAATGTAATTCATTCAACTCAAGTTCAAACTTCAAAACTCCATTGACGCGTTCTGCTCCTCTCTTTTTTAGCGATTACATGTGTGGATATACAGGGCCTTGATTGGATACAGAAGTATGTGTGTGAAAAGATCTTAGCCCTCAATTTGCTGTGGCCTCACATGTATGCATGTGCCCACCAAGTAGTATCAAAAGAGTGTTTTGGACTGACTTTGAAAGAGCCAAATCCAAATATCAATTAAGTCAACTTAGTAGTCCTTTGGTTGATAGAGAAAATGTTGTGTTATTGAATCAATGATTTTTTTTTTGGAAGAGGGCAAATTTAATGTGTGTCTTTCATGTACATCGCCATTGGTGCTCATGGGTAGATAGAAAGTCAATATATACTCTCTCAATTCACTCCTCACCGACCAAGACTGACAATCCTACTAGCTAATTGGGAGAGCGTAAAATCTGCCCGAAAATTTCTAACTGTATATAGCCTTAATCGGTGTTTTTGCTATTTACAAAAAATTGTCTTAAGTCGCAAATAGATAGAAGGATCTTGATATATTAATCTCGAAAAATAAATTGAACAATATGTTTATAACTCAACAAGTTATAAAAAATCGGATTATGTATATAAATTAGTATGTTCTAATTTTGAAAATTATGTTGCTCGAGGTAACCATCATTTAACTAAAAGGCTCTTACTTTAAAACATGGCTATTATTAGCAAAACGAGTTCATTTCCCCCGTGGAAGGTCACTAAATTTTAGCCTATTTTTGGAGAAAAAAACAGTTGCCATAGAAAGAACAAGGCAAAGTCAAGTAAAATTCATTCCAAACGAAAAAGAAAATAGCAATGGCCATTTAATTGATGAGATATGGTGTTATAATTGAGAATGCTAACCGTTTTACCCTGCCTGATAAATCTCAATCTCCTTTTGCCACACAGCACACTGTAAAGATCATTAGTGGCATAATGTGAACCATGTGCCATGACGATTACTAGATTCCATCATAAAATTGGTAACGATTTGTTTCCAAATCATTGGCCAAACTCTATATCATCATCATAGGCACATGTAACAAGTTTTAAAGGTACCAACTTTTTTAACAGAATGAACAATGTTGTACTTGTAGCGGTAGTTGTAGTAGTAGAGTATCAAGAAAGACCGTCAGGTTTAAGGTTTTAAACCTTAAACATCAAAAACAACCCACAGAAACACTGAAAAAACCAATGTGAAAGCACAGTGGATAACCTGAAATTTCACTGCTATAAAAAAGAGTGGAGACCCTCTCAGCGTCTAATGTGGAGCCACCAAACCCAGTGACCTCTTCAGATCTCTTTCTTTGGGACCCATTTCCCTTCTTCAACAGTGATTCTGTTCATTGCACCCCATTTTCCTTCACTCACACAAAACAAACCCCTTTTTAGAGAGAAAAAAAGAAATCTTTGAGAGGGAAAAACTAAAACAAAAGTAGTCTTTTGAGTTATGCAAAAGAAAGAGCGTGGCTTCTTCTTTTTTCCTGACGGTGGCGTTGTTAGTTGTTATATTTTCATTGAAGAGGTAACTGAATTTGATTTTGGTTTTTAACTAGAAACCATTTTTTTTTTCACTTTGTCTCGTCTCGTCTAGATTTCAAAATGACAGTCTCTATCAACATGAAATCTCGCTTAAATGGTTATAAAAAAAACCAAGTCCCTCACTTTCAATTCTAGTCTGAGAGAGAGAAAGAGAGCGACATACACCATCATAACTGGTTTGCTTCTCTCTATTCCTCCATCTTTCATTGTCAAAATTTTCTCCATCTTACGTGATTGAATAATCATTTGATTTATCTTCTTTTTTATATGTTGCGATTAAAGTATATTAAGCCTTTATCTCTTATGCAGGTTGGTGGTTAAGTTCATTGTTCTGATTATAAACAACACTCAAAGAGACCATCTATCTGGGTTCCTCGAATTGAATTCCTCTAAGCTTGGCATTGAATTTGGGTTTGATTTGTTTTGAGCATAAGATTGAATCTTTGAGACCAAGTTGGAGATTTAAAGCCTAGTAAGTTTTTGGATCTGAATTACCGTTAATATGTTGTCTTCTTCTAGTCAAATGATAAAAGGGGTGTTTTGTTTGAATGTTGAAGTCCCTTTTGAATCTCTGAACGGTTCATTAGATCTAGAATGCCCTGAAGTTGAAGCTGCACATGACTTTAATGGACTTTTTTTCGTCCCAGTTAAGGAACCGGGTTCGTTTGGTTTAGGTGTATGGTATGTTTGAATTGCTTCAGAAGATCTTTGGAGGCCTAAAGATTCGAAATTTTCTTTGGCATTACTACTTTTTGCCTTTTTAGCTATTGAAAATGCCAATTCTGATGCTATGTTTTTACCTCTATTTCTATTTTCTAAACTATCTTATAGCTACTGAATTTCCACTTTTGTGATGGTTTACTGGTATTTCTGAGTTTTTCTTTTTTTAGTGATTGGATTTCCTATTTTATGACTATTCACTGCTACTGTAGACATGCTGCATTTATATTTCCCCATCAGGGAGATTATTTTGTTTGCCCTCGTCCTCCTAGTTATTTTTAGGGTTCTGATGTTTACAAAGAACACCAACAATAAGAAAGGGTTATGTCATGTAGTTTGTTGTCTTTGAGAAGCTACATAATTTTCCTCACCATGAATTGAAGCATGTAATGTTTTAAATTGTCATTTATTGTGTGCTGCTACTGTATGCACAGTGTAATCTTATATTTTTATTAGCTTTTAAAATGATAATGGTAATAGAGCATTCACTTTTGTTAGCATTATTTGAATGTCTTCATTCCATTTCTCGGGAGTTTTTTTTACTTGCTAAATCTATCCTATCCATTTCAGAATGGCATATTCAGAGAGCATGCATGGGAATTAATGCCCTTTGAGTCAGGGCATTTTGTCAGTATGGATCTCCGGGAGGATAGCTCTAGATTTGGGATGTTACCAGTAACAACTTCGAGGATTTCGTCATCATCATCAGCATTCTTTTCCGCAAATCAGTCACCCTTCTTCTCTCCAAGATCGCCAACATGTCAAGCATCAGAATCAACACGTTCAGATGCTCAATATGATAGCACCCATTTTAGTGGTGATCCCCTTAGCTCTAGTTCAGGAATTCCAGATCCTGAATCTCTAGCAAATGCCAGAGATGCCTTGGCAGATATGACAAGGGAGGCAGTTGCTGGCATTGCAAATGATTTTCAGAAGTTTAATCGTATATCGTCTTCAACTGGCATTTCTAATAGTACTCCATATAGTTACAGTTATGCCCATGATAAAAGTTATTCTGGGTTCAGAGAGAAGCATAGAAAGCATGGGAGAAGCCATGGGATGTCATATACTCCAGTTTCAGTTTCCATTTCCTCTTATAAACTTAGGAGTTGTGACGTCTTCATAGGTTTGCATGGTCGCAAACCTTCTTTGCTGAGGTTTACTAATTGGCTCCGTGCTGAGTTGGAGGTTCAAGGGATGAGTTGTTTTGTATCTGACAGAGCTCGATGTAGAAACTCTCGCAAACATGGAATTGTTGAGAAAGCAATGGATGTTTCTTCTTTTGGCATCGTAATCTTAACAAAGAAGTCCTTCAGAAACCCATATACTATTGAGGAGCTGCGATATTTTGTAAGCAAAAAGAATTTGGTTCCGGTATTCTTTGATCTGAGTCCAGATGATTGCCTCGTCAGGGATATAGTCGAGAGGAGGGGAGAGTTGTGGGAAAAACATGGGGGCGAGCTATGGCATTTGTATGGTGGTTTGGAGAATGAGTGGAAGGAAGCTGTTAATGGCATCTCTCGGGTTGATGAGTGGAAACTGGAAGCTCAAGACGGTAACTGGAGAGATTGCATATTGAGAGCTGTCACGCTGCTGGCTTTGAGATTAGGAAGGAGAAGTGTTATGGAAAGGCTGACTAAGTGGAGAGAGAAGGTGGAAAAAGAAGAGTTCCCTTTCCCTCGAAATGAGAACTTTGTTGGCAGGAAGAAAGAACTGTCTGAGCTAGAATTTATACTTTTTGGCAATGTAAGTGGAGATTCCGAAAGAGATTACTTTGAACTGAAGGCTAGACCTAGGAGAAAGAATTTGACAATCGGATGGAATAAGAGCAGTTCAGCCGAGGAAAAAAGACGAGAGCAGCAATGGGACGATGGTAGCAAGAAGGGTAAAGAACCATTTGTATGGAAGGAGTCAGAAAGGGAGATAGAAATGCAAAGTGGTGAATTTACCCAAAGGCAGCATCAATTAAAACCCAAAAGCAGTGGGCGATATGGAAAGAGAAAAAGATCAACAAAGATTTTATATGGGAAAGGGATTGCTTGTGTGTCGGGGGAATCAGGAATTGGCAAGACAGAGCTTCTTCTGGAGTTTGCGTACAGATACCACCAGAGGTACAAGATGGTTCTGTGGATTGGAGGAGATAGCAGGTATATTAGGCAAAATTATCTGAACCTTTGGTCGTTTTTAGAAGTTGATATTGGGGTTGAGAATTACTCGGGGAAAAGCAGGATTAGAAGTTTTGAAGAGCAAGAAGAGGAAGCCATTTCTAAAGTTCGGAAGGAGCTTATGAGAAACATACCATTTTTGGTTGTGATTGATAACTTGGAAAGTGAGAAGGATTGGTGGGATCACAAACTTGTGATGGATCTTCTTCCCCGTTTTGGCGGAGAGACCCACATCATAATATCTACACGGCTACCACGCGTGATGAATTTGGAACCTTTGAAACTCTCTTATTTGTCTGCAGTTGAGGCGATGTGCTTAATGCAGGGAAGTGACAAGGATTACTCTATTACAGAAATTGATGCTCTCAGGGTTATTGAGGAGAAGGTAGGTAGGTTAACGTTGGGCCTTGCAATAGTTGGAGCCATTTTATCTGAGCTTCCAATTAATCCAAGCAGGCTATTGGACACCATAAATAGAATGCCCTTGATGGAGATGTCATGGAGTGGTAGAGAAGCTCATTCATTGAGGAAAAATAGTTTCCTTTTGCAACTCTTTGAGGTTTGTTTTTCCATATTTGATCATGCAGATGGGCCTAGGAGCTTGGCAACAAGGATGGTCCAGGCCAGCGCTTGGTTTGCACCAGCTGCAATTCCAGTTTCCCTATTGGCCCTAGCTGCAAACAAGATTCCTGAGAAGCATAAGGGAACACAGTTATGGAGAAAGTTACTGTCTTCCTTGAGTTGCGGTCTCTCTTCATCATACACCAAAAGATCAGAAGCAGAGGCATCTTCCATGTTGTTGAGATTTAATATTGCACGAAGCAGTACCAAGCAAGGCTGTGTCCATGTCAATGAGCTCATCAAGCTTTATGCTCGCAAGAGAGGGATCACTGGGGTTGCACAAGCGATGGTGCATGCTGTCATTAGTCGTGGGTCTGTATCCCATCATTCAGAACACATATGGGCAGCATGCTTCTTGCTATTTGGATTTGGTACCGACCCTAAAGCTGTTGAGGTTAAGGTTTCAGAGTTGCTGTACCTTGTTAAACAAGTGGTTTTGCCTCTTGCCATTCGGACATTCATTACATTCTCTAGATGCAGCGCTGCACTAGAACTCCTGCGCCTATGTACTAATGCCTTGGAAGCAGCAGATCAAGCTTTTGTTACTCCAGTTGAGAAATGGTTGGACAAATCACTATGCTGGAGACCCATCCAGACTAATGCTCAGTTGAATCCATACCTTTGGCAGGAGCTGGCTCTATCAAGAGCCACGGTGCTGGAAACTAGAGCCAAGTTAATGCTGAGAGGGGGACAATTTGACATAGGGGATGATCTAATTAGGAAGGCTATTTTTATTAGAACTTCAATTTGTGGAGATGATCATCCAGATACCGTATCCGCTCGTGAAACTCTAAGCAAACTCACCAGGCTTCTTGCCAATGTTCAAATTCGGAATTCACCATAGACAATATTACTTGGAAGCAAAATTTACATTAGAGTTATACAAAATTCTCCATTATAGCTGTTATAAACATTTTAGAGGAATTATTTATACCATTTTAACTCTGATAAAGATGCCCTTCATTTTCTCAAAATTTTATCCCAATTTCTTATATATATATATAAACAAAAAAAGTTATGGCCTTTTTCTTTTCAGTGTGCATATCTCTTTCATAAGTAAACCTTATAATTATATTCGTGGCTGTATTACTTTATTACAATCAGATGTTAAGATAAAGATATCGATTTAATACTCAACGATATATAAACAACTTTGTTGGCAATGTTATTGAATCAGCTGAACAAACAGGACATTGGTAAATGAGAAGTATTCTGCTTTCAGTGTTGAAATATTTGGAGGCTGTCTGACTGATGATCCAACCAAGTTTGTCAACTGGGATGATAAGATTTGCTGCATTTGTGGCTGAAGGAAGTATGCAGATGCTAAGTTGGAAACTCGTGACATGATTTCTAGCCAGGTTAAATTTTAGACTTCCCTTTATTTTCCGATCTTTGTTTGACTTCTTTAGAACATGTTGTGGCTTGATGAAGCTAGAAGAAGACACACATTAGCATCAGATAAATATAAGCTAGAAAAAGTGCTTCTCCACCATGTTTTTTTGATCCAAGCTTCTCCTCCATGCTTGTTAAACATTCTTATCTGTTTGCATATTGGTGAAGGGTCTCATCTCAAGTAAAAAGGTCTGTGAAGAAACACAGAGTTGTCACTTGTTCAGATATATTTACCCAAATTTCCCTTCTTTTCTAGGCAACTTTTTCCCCCTTCCACTTTCCAAAAGCTTAGTTTCTCCGTTTCCATGAGGTTCTTTAGCTGTGTAACCAATCACTATCTAATCATTTTATGTAACCAATCATTACTGTATGCATGTATGCTTGTACAGAAGCCAACTTTTTGGTGAATTTCAATCATTTGATGTACATGTAAAGAATATGTGTGTAAATTCTTTTCTGCTTTACATGATTAGTGTATGATGGAAAGCAAAACGAACTGCTCTCATATTGTTCCAGTTAATACTCTTTGCCTTGTTTTTTGCCCACATCCTAAAGCTGATAAATAAATACTTTTTCATTTATTATTATTATATATTTATATTACCTTTTTTTTTTTTATGTGGTTTTTATGTTGAGAGAAAGAAATTTTTATTTTAATACACTAATTCAGGTGTGGATATTCTATATGAAATATTTGATCAAAGACTTAAATAATTTTGGTAGACGAAAATTGATCCGACACTACCTTGATAGTTAATATATATATATAGAACACCATTCAGAGCATCAATGCATCCATAATTCTTTCATTACAAACAGTCACCATCAAAAAGTTGAAGACAACATATTTTATCAGTTTATCAAACCCTTACATGCAAATATTATATGCAGATACATAAATTTTGGGTCAGAGCATATTCTCTGCATGATGTTAGCCCTACGTGTACCCCAACTTGTACTCTATTTTTTTTTAATGGGTTTCTTAACTTCTCAAATTGAAAAAGAATAGAAGGGCATCTAATACGTATAAAATTCAATAAAATTGTAAAAATAACAAGTGCACCACACTGTGGGGTGGTCCAACTTTAGCAAAGAAGCTAAACCAGTAAACCTTATCTTATGCACTAGTAGTACTCGAGTTTGTGTAACTGTCATAAAGCATGGAATGAACTGCGAGCTTTAATGAATAAATCAAAAAGGAAAAAGATGGCCTGGTTTTACATCACCTTTTTCAGGGTGGGGAGGTGACACATTTTGGTCACTTGGATATAATGATTGGCCATTAGTACTTCCTTTTTCTACTAGACGGGAAAACAATTGGGACGCACTGTAAATTTGGTTCTTCTGTCAGTTTTTGACAGTGGTGTGTCCCTGAAGTTGTTTATACTTACCATCGACCTTTTGTTAGTTATTATGCATGGAATTAAGCTTTTTCTTGAAATTCTAGAAAAGGAAGAACGAGTTTGGCACTTGGTGGTTGGTAGCGTATCAAACCAAAGTTTTGGTCTTAGGCCCAAGGAAAAAAAAATACAATAAGCAGTAAAGTCTGCCCCCATGCAGGATCGAACTACAGACCTTCAGTTTACAAGACTGACGCTCTACCACTGAGCTATAGGGGCTTTCCTGCATAGTGCTCTTTTCAGTATAAATTTATTTCATTGTATTTTGCATGTTAACGATAATTTTACCCATCCAAACTTCTATTGTTTTAGATATTGAAATATCATTCCAGCAACAGCTCCATTCAGTCAAGTTAATCAATACCAACTAAAACTTAAAGTATGGTTCTCCCCACAAATCTGGTAAAATTATAGTTCCAAGTTTCTTAGTGAACTCTCCAAGCTTATCAGAAGGGTATGAGAGTTATTCTCCAGTCACCAATAGCTAAGTTCTCCACCAAAATTGTGTAAACTACAGATTAAAGTTCTCTACCAAAAGGTATCCATGAGTGGAGAATAGACAAGTCCCACGAAAATATGATAAGTGCATGCACATGCAAAGGATAAGCAACATGACTTAGTCCCAACAGTAATGAATATCTGAAACATTGATCCAGAGTTAAATAATTTACAGAACATTCATGTCAAATAAAGAGAGAAAGGCAGGAATTTTTTCCTAAGCCTTTAGTTTTGTTGAGGGTTTCAATGTTCCATTTTAAAAGAGCTGAATTTCATGTACAGGTACAGACAATTAGAAGACATGCATACATGTAATCAAGGATCAGCTTTGCCAGCGAGTTGGTCATCATCGGAGTTGTAATCATCTTCACTCAGCTCTTCATCGCTGGATTTTTCTTCTGGTTTTGCCCCTATATCCTCTGGCTTTGCATATTTCTCACAATATTCTGGAAATAAGACAATCGTAAACAACAGTTATATAACTTCAAGAAATAATATTGAAACAAAGATAGATGAAGAGTGTGAGTAGAGACAACAATGTAGTGATGTCAGCTTAGAAGTTAAATGCAAGGCAGTGTTCAAGACAATAAGTGTTGATAAAATGTTCGATTGATGATCTTTTTGTAACACAATACAAATTATAGAAAAAACTGAGGTTGATGCCAGTACGCACAAATCGTTCAGACAAGGTACAGGTGCAGTCTAAGGCTATTGCCGGCTTAGTTTTGTTTAACATTTGACGATCCATCATCATACAAGACATTTTATATTTCATACAACATAAATTCTATTTTAAGCAAACCCCATTCAGTAACATCCCTTCGCTTCTCATTCCAATCACACAAGCTTCTAATTTCTCAAATAATCTCCAAGTTACAAGGCCAAATTAGTAGCCATTGTGAAACCAAAGAACTGATCAAACCAACAGTTAATTATTATTATTCTTGATTGGGCTCCTATTGTTTAAATCTGTAATTCTTCTGTAGGAAATTGAGACCATCCTCACATAATTGATATCATTTCATAGTTACTGAATCATTTTACAAAAAAAGGCAAATTGATTTTGGGTTTTTGGATCTAGTTAAGAGATGAAAAATAATTGACTGGCATCATCTCTCCCACAGCCATGTTTGTAAAGGAAATCTTTCTATACTGTAGCCTTCCCTGATCCAATACACAAATTTCCGGAAAGAAATTCCAGTGGAAGAGAATAAAGTGTTTGCAGCAGTGATTGCCTGACAGCCAACAACCACTCCAGTGCCCAACAATGTCACAAATGGTTCGCCGTTCCCTTGCCTTCATGCACTCATGCATCAAAATGGATGTAATTACATGCTTTCTCGCAGGAAATGTTTCCATTCAGTATAGTAATTTCTGAATTGGGAATTCAAAATCAATAGCAGACGCATTTTACTTTATTGATCTAAAGGTCTTATTGTTTTCTTAAGGTTTTGGGAAGTCACGATATGTAGATGTCATATCCTTTCAATGCATCAAAGCATCCAATCCAAAAGACAACAGAGGGAAGTAAAGGTACATCTCAATATCTCAGATGTTGCTGCTTCTTATTCGATCTTTAATGGATGCAATGAATTATCTAAACTCACGTGAATCCTCATACTAATCAACCCAGCAGAAACAAATCATGCTCCAAATTCAAACTAATAAAATTAGGTCAGATATTATAGATAAACAATGGAAAGAAAAAAGCGACAATTGTGCAAACTTCAAAGATGTAGAACCAAAATGAAAAAACAATGATTATTTAATTAAACTGGAATTAGATAAAAGCAATTGGAGCTACCAACTTAACACACCAAGTGCTGATAAACTGGAACTTGAATCACTCATCAAGTTCAAGGTTAAAACTATGGAGCTTCTTTCAGAATAGGCACTCAAACCTCCCAAAAGTGGTCCAATGGGGCATAAAAGAGCAGGGTCAATGTTGTCCTCAACATGCAACATAATTTCCATGTCTCAAAGTCTTATATTCAAGAATTTCTACATGCATTTTAAAGTGGGAAAAAACTACGGACTTGAGGATGGAAATAAGAGAACTGGAAATAAAGTATTTTGAAACTCTGATCTGACTAGCTAAGCAGAAGTAATACTTCAATTCACACACCGTGTTTAGAGTTCCTACCTTTCACTCTTTGATCATAAGCAGTGCGATCACGCATCATCAAAGCAGCAGCTTCTCCATTCAATGGATCTGATGCGTTGGGATACAAAAGAAGCTGAGGGAGAAATACTTCAAATACATTTACCAGATCTGTGATTTTCATTAAAATGGAAATAGTCAAATTCTGACGATAAAAGCACTAATCAAAATTGAAGAAATAATCTATGGATGGAAGAAACAAATTTAGAAGCTCCTAATATAGCATATAAAGTTTCTGCAGATAAATAATAACAATGCAGCAAGTTTACCAAACATGGGGCTCCAAGTTTGATTGATAACATCCAAACAAACTGAACCAGACCTGACACTCAAAAACAAACCAACATTTTCTGTTAAAAGTTGCAATCTAACTACACATATAAGCAACGCACCAACTTCAAGCAAGCTAAAGTAGTCAAATTTTGGCATCCACTAACTCACATTTCATCAACGTTTGGGTGATAGATCTTGTTGACAAAGCCAATTGATGGAGATTTATAAGGATAAGCATCTGGCAATTCAACTCTTATCTTCCACACGCCTCCTTGATAAAGACCTGCCATGTTCCCACAAAGAACAAGAAAAGAAGAGATAATAAACTATCTGTGCCCCTAATTAAAAACCCCAAAAGAAACTTAAACATTATCTTCACTGAGGAAAATCAACAAACAACAAACTTGCGACAAATATAAGAACCAAAATCAAAAGAAAAGCAATGCAATTCCTTAAAATCACATTCTACTTTACAGTAAAAGCAAAAGTACAGGTTTCTTCTCATGCATCAATAGTTAAAAAAAATCTGCTTAAAACTCAAATTCAGCAAGAAATACCTTCAGTAAAAGAAAAATAAAAGGCTCAATTAACCAAAAAAGGCAAATATACTGCAATCTTGAAGAAAAAATCCAAAATCCAAAGTATCTACATGGGTCAATAAGAATAAATATAAAATCAACTGAAAAACAGAAAAGAACCCACCAAGAAAAGCATTTATAAAAAAAAAGCTGAATGAAAGGAAAAAAAACAGTAAAAGGAAAAAAATGGGTACTGAAGATTTTGATTACTTACTTTCTTTAGGTCCATTGAATTCCACATAAAAATCTTGCATGCCATCATTGATCATTTCCACTTTGTAATCACTCATCATCCTAGTCAATCAAAACCCAGAAAAAAAAAATTAAAAAAAAAATTAAAAACAATACCAAACAAACCCAATTAAATACAGAACAAAACTTTGTCATAAAAGAAACAAGATTTTTACAGTTTCATCAAATCCATCTCCCTTCGTTTGCTTGGTGAAGACATTTTTGCTTTCCTGTTGTTTGTTTGTTTGTGTGTTTTTCTTTTTCTTTTTTTGTTGAGAGAAAGGAAAAAAAAGGTCGTTTTAGCTAAAATGATTTCAGACATGAACGAGTGAAAGAAGGAATTGTATTTATAATATTATTTTGCACACTCTCATGGCCATGTGGAGTCGGCTTCACTATTTCACTGTAATTTTTTCTCTGCAACTATAAAATCTATTTTCATTTTCATATTATTCCTTTTTATATATTAAAAAAACAATTATTTCTTACAAAAAGTTGTAGATAGAGCCATTTTTGAAAAATTGGGCTTGTCCAAAATAATATAATGGTCAATAGCAATATTAATGTTAACGTGGCATAATTGGATTGGCGTATCATGGATGGATGATTGAATTTAGAAATAACAAGTGGATCGGTATTAGATGAAGTGGTCGTATTTGAAAGATACCAAACACATCAATCGAATGACTGACCGTATTCTAGGTTGGGTTTCCATGTTTTTCCTCACAAAAAGAAATGTCTATTACACAAATATTCTTAACATGGTTCCGCTGTCAGCCGAGGTGTGAACCGTAGTATTGTTGGATTGATTTAATCTTACTGTACTTGGATTATTTTTATTTTTTTATGACCGAAAAAAATAAATACATGCAATTTTTTATGTGTAAGTATATCATTTTTCTAATCTCTTGATTAATACATGACATACATTGGTCTTTCCATCAACAAATAAATTGATAAGATATTGAGGTTAATAGTAATTAAAATTTGTCAAAGCATGGCCTTGGTTTTGGAAGTACTTTTTTTTTTTTTTTTAAAGTTTGGCAATAAAAGTGTTTTCGGACTAATTTTTTCATATTTTGAGATTGATCGTTCGCTATAAATGATGAAAGAGCATTCTCCAACTAACAAATTCGAGTATTCCGAAAATAAATTTTCAAGAATATTGATCACATGGATCAACTCGATATTTATTTATCCATAGACTACCACTTATACTTAGTTTTAAAAGTACTCTTTATAGGTACGAATCTATGCCCGATTGCATAGATTTATTGTCATTAATGATTGCCACGTGATTATAGATGATTGATTTTAATGTGTTTATTATGGTATATCTCAATTAGATTTACTTCATAAACGCATTTGATGGTATGGTATTGATTAAATTGCATTGTTAAGTAAAAGTACAATAATGACATTTTAAACCAATTAAATGCATTAAAATTTTGATTAGTTTTTTCTATTTAGATAAAGCAAGTAAAAATATTTTATCCGGATGCCTAAAGATTCATACAATAATATTACTCATAATAATAATAATAACTTTCACTTGCTTCTTAACGTACCACATTAAATCGTTTTCTATTTAGATATCTCATATAATTGCAATTTAATTAGATAATAATATGGGAATCAAATCTATCCATCAATCATCTTATTTAAAAACTCTAATATATTCCAATGAGCTTGTAACTCATGTCTCCCCCCCCCCTTTTTTTTTTTTTTTTTTTTTTAAGAATTCTAAGTTTGAATATCTACTTTGTAATAGAAGGAAAAAAAAAAAAAAACTCTAACATGTGAAAACTATTATTTGATCAGATGAGAACAAATTATGTGTGTTATGTTTACAAGGTGTTTATATTCGTCCAAAAGAGACGAAAAATATGTCTATAATTAATAAGTAAGAGCTTCGAATGGGTGCGCCAGTAATTAATGTCCTAAAATTAAATTTTTCATAACTCACAAAATTATCAAAAAAGGGAAAACAACAATTATTGAGACAAAAATAAAGGTGGGGTAAACCCCTAAAGAGGTTATGAAAAATGAATTTCTCTATGAAACTCCAATGCAATTGTTTTTTTTTTTTTAATCCTCCAAGCTATCTCGTGCCAATGGCTACCGATTGGAGTAAAGAGCTATGATTGAGCCGTAACTTGTTGAAGCGCTTATCGAGGAGAAAGGTTTAGTGCTCGATGCCCTTATTCCGGACTAATCTCTCACTATTCCGTTAGACTGGATAAGATGAGAATAGCTTAGAGAGTTTTTTGCATATACAAAGACTCGAACCCAAGATCATTTGCAAAATCCAATGCAATTGTACCTAACTAATTTAAAAAATATTTAGTCTATGATGTTCTCTACCACCTTACAAAGCAAGGAAAAATAAAAGAAAAATTGAAATGTTATGTAATTAAATATGTCTAAGCATATAAACGCAATAAAAATTAATAAGATATAGACCTCCTATCATGATTAATTAAGTGTTCAAAATATTACCGAAGAAAAACTAGAGTCGTCAAAGAGAAAGAGCCTTTTAGTCTATGTCGATACTTTAGGTTTTTTGTGTAATGTAAAACACAAACTTTACTTAATATTTATATGGCTAGACTAAGGATCCTTTTTTTTTTACTTAATTTTGCACTTACATTCATCATGAATGTGTTTAGCCTACCACTAGAGTCCATTGGACTCTTAGTCTTTAAATTGTCACCTATAGATTTAAAACAAAATATGACACATGAGCCACACTATAGAAATGCTTCTTACATTCTCCCACTTGGCCCATATCACATTATCTAAAAATGACAATTCTTTATAGAGTCTAGAAAGATTAGTTAGTTAAAACACTCACACTTAGATCAAGAATACAACATATGAATCGTAGCGATTATGGTTTATAACTAAGCACTTCCTTCCATGCATTATAATATATTACATCCTTAAAACAAGCATTAAACTTTATGAATGAACTTTCAATAAGTCATTCGAGTCTAACTTTATATATCAAAATGAATATAAAAATAATACTTTATGTGGACTAAAATCACATCAATCTATAAGAACAACTTAAAAAATATCTAGACAATCAATAAAAGAAAATGAAGTCAAACAATAAATAGGTTAGTTAGATCGATACGATTCACATGATCTCTATATTATTTTACCGATAGTGCTTTAGTCGTAGGATCCGCAATCATTAGCTCATGCTAATATGCTTAATGAGCACTTCATGTTCCTTCACTTTCTCTCTCATAATGAGATATTTTATGTAGATATGCTTATTTTGATATCCACTTTTATTATTTTTAGAGAAGAAAATTACAACCAAATTATCATAATAAATCTTTACCGGTCTTGATATGAAGTCGATAATTTGTAGACCGAAATGAAGTTTCTTAACTAGATAGCTTCGTATCGTTGCTTCATAAGCATGCAATGAATTCCGTTTCTATAGTAGATGAAGTAATAATAGTTTGTTTAGTACTTCTCCAAGACACAACTCATCCAAGAAGAAGAAAAATATATCCGAAAGTAAACTTTCTTGTGTCTACACAACTAGCAAAATCCGAATCTAAATAACCAACCACCTCAAGATGATTAGTATGTCCGTAAGTCGGTTTATAATTCTTGGTTCCTTATAGATACCTTATGACTTTCTTAGCGAGCTTTTCAATGTTCAATTCTAGCATTACTTTGGAAACTTCCTAGCATTCCTACTACAAATGCCAAGTCAAGTCTTGTACAAACCCGTGCATACATCAAATTATCTATTGCGGATACATAAAGAATGTTCCTCATTTATTCCTTTTCCAATGCATTTTATAGACATTGATTTAGATTGAATTTATCCCCTTTAACAATTGGTGCTATTGAAGATGCACAATTTGACATCTTGAATCGTTCCAAAACTTTTTCAATGTAAGCATTCTAAGACAGTTCTAATATTTTTTGAGATTTGTCTCTATAAATCTCTATTCTAATGAGATAAGATTTTTCACCTAAATCCTTCATATCAAAGTTTTGCGAAAAAATTGCTTAATCTCATGAAGCAAACCCAAGTCACTACATGTAAGCAAAATATCATGTACATATAGGACAAAAAAATATATATTTGCTCCTATTAACTTAAGGTATATACATTGATCAACACTCGTTCAAAATAAAGCCATATGAGATAATAACATTGTGAAACTTAATATACCATTGTCGGGAAGCTTGCTTTAGCCCATATATAGATCTTTTTAGCTTACAAACTAAGAGGCTATTTGTATCACCACAAAAACCTTCAAGCTAATTCATGTATACCTCTTCATCTAAATTTTCATTTAAAAATGATTTTTTCATATCCATTTGATATAGTTCTAAATCAAAATGAGCTACTAATGTCATTATTATTCTGAATGAATCCTTTTTAGAGATCGAAGAAAAAGTCTCATGGTAGTCTATGCCTTTCTTTTGGATATAACTTATAGCCATAAATCTAGATTTATATCATTTCATATTACCGGAAGAATCTCTTTTGGTTTTATAAATCTATTTATAGCTAATGGCTACATATCTTTTTGGTAATTTGATGAGGTCCCAAACTTGATTTTTATGTATAGACTCCATTTCTTTCTTTATGAAATTATACCATGAATTGAAATTTTCTCCATTCATGGCTTGTGAAAGCGAGCTTGGATCATTCTTAAGTCCAACATCAAAGTCGGACTCTCGAAGGTATACAACATAGTCATTAGAAATTTTTAGTCTCCTTATTCTTAAAGATCTTCTCAATTCAATATTTTCACATCAATTTATCTTATCAAGAGTTAGTTGTATAGGAATCGGTTGTTGTTCAATATTATCTAATTGATTTTCTTGAATAATAACCAATTGTCTTGTATCTTTATGCAACATAGTTGAATCTTATGTTTCCTTAAATTTTATTCTTTGAGAAAAATCACTCTCACTAAGGTTGAGATCCTCAAGAAATTTAGCATTTCTTACCTCTACTATTCTTGTACTTGTGAGAAGGACGAGTAAAACCTATATCCTTTAAAGTTTACTATATAACCAATGAAATATCCACTAGTTGTTCTAGGGTCTAATTTCTTTAATTGAGGATTATAAATCCTTACCTCAATAGGAAAATCCCATACATGTGTATGATTTAAATTAGATTTCCACCTATTTTATAATTCAAAAGGTGTTTTCGAGATAACCTTAGATGGAACC